ACATAACAACACTTGCTTTATACCACCCCAGTACACACACAACACATGCTTTATACCACCCCAGCAGGCAAGCGCGGCTACTGTCTAACGCACAGCTCAATAGCCCAACAGCACACTTACCCAATCAGTGCGCATGGCTGCAGGGTTGGTGTGGTAGTTCTGTGGGGCATTAATCTCATCGCCCAAATCATCAACGGGATCGTTCATGTCCATCGCTACAATCGGAAACTCGTCGCCTGTGAACTCATCGTCTGTGCCTTCGCCTCCTACGGTGGTCATTGCGAAGCCCGCCGCGCTGTAAGTGTTTGAACGTTGTAGTTTGAGGAGAGTGGGGCGGTATACGAACATATATATGAGCACGAGTGCATGTGTGTCTGCAGATTTTGATTGTGATCGTGTATGTGTCTGTGTCAGCGTACGTGAGTATATCTACTTGCACTACATGTGTATGTATTTTATAAGGAATGTATGAATATGTATATAAATGTACGTATAAGTATGTGTGTGTATGTGTAGTATGTGTATGTATATACATGTATATGCATGTATATGTATGTATATGTGTGCATATGTATGTATATGTGTGTATCGTATGTGCCTATGTCTGTGTACGTGAGAATATACTTACTTGCAATATATATATATATGTGTGTATACTTTTGTATATGTTTGGATATGTATACATATGTGTGTATATGTATGTTTGTGTATGTACCATGTCCAGATGATATTGGTGTAGCATATGTGTATATAGGGGTATATACATGCGTGCCCATGAAGCGTACGTGAATTGTCAGGGGCATGTGTAATTCTGAGAAGCATGAAGAACACACCCACGCAGACATATAGGCAGCCCGGCACATGTCGGAGGCAGCGCCCTCGACTCACATTCCTGAACAGAAATTGGACTATGGCACAAAACATGACCACACAACATGAAACTAGAACGCAGGGTCACGCCTCGCACTTACAAGGCGAGCGTAGATCAAGCTCTCATACTATCTACATACTGCAGTCCATTGCACTATAGTTTTAACATGTTAGACAGGTTTGCGTGTGCATGTACCTTCCTACAGAGTCCCTGTTGTCTTCCACTGATTTGCTAGTATGTTCGCCAGTTGTAGTCAAATCCGGCGATGGACAATATGCAGTAGGTCTCGACTTGAGTTTGGCATGGGCTCTACAGTAATCGCAAAGGTATTTATATTAAAGTAGGTACGCTGCAGTTGTTCATGATAGGCTGCGCTTGACAAAGCAATGATAACAGATACGAAACAATCATATATATATATATATATATTTCATTATATACATATATACATATAGACATATATATATATAGATAAATACATACAAACACATACACACATACATACATACACACATACATACATATA